TTTCCCTCATTCAGCCACGAGGTCAGAAACCAGCGTCACCGTGTGTCCTCATGCCTCCTCTTTTCCACTTTCAAGGCTCTGTAACTTCTCTCCACAGGCAGAGCCCCTTTCCTCCCTTAGGGGGCGATGAAGGCGTCCTGACCAAGGCAAGTCCAGGTCTCTAATGGCATTTTCCCCCAAGTGAGGCCGTCAGGACCCACCTCCAACCTCGCTTCCCCTTTTAGCCCACTTGGCAGAGGCATTAGGAAGATCATTCGAGAATCTGAAGTCATGGACAAAATTCACTGGTAATGCAAGGGGATTCCCTTCGAAACTTCCACTCCCTCACACCCAACCAAGGGGCTTATGCGAATGTTTCCCCACATCCCGTGTGGTTCAGGGTTCAGGATCTCGAAGAGGGGCCGCACGCAAATGAAAGAGACGAGACAAGAAATAATAATTTGGAAATATTGGGGGTCAGGTGGGCAAGCCCAACTCAAGGGAAGGGCTTCCACTGGTGCGCAGGCCTCGCCAACCTTTTATTCAACTTTGGATACACATCTAGCTCTTAGGCAGGTAATTGCGGTAACAGACAGACTATCTTAAAGTCAGTACATATTAGAAGGATTTACTCTGAGACTATTTGATCAGGAAATAGCTTGAGCCCCCACTGTCTAGACTAGACAATTGGTGCATAACTCTGGTCCTTGTCATGGGTTCAAGGTTCACCAGCATTCCGGGACCCTTGTTTGCACTTCTCTGCTAGTGAAGACAATGGGCGGCTTCCTGCAGGCTTGGACTGTGCTCTCACCTGGGTGGATTACTCACCCGCATGGACATTCAAATGGCTGGCTGCCCTATGGCCTCACACAGAGGCTGTCCAGCAAGTTTGCCAACTTAAGGAGTTAATACCACAGACGGGCAAAAGTACACCCACGGACAGATGAAATAAACATACTGGGAAGAGTTCTAGGCAATTTCTTTATAAATAACTGCTTAGAAAATTGTTTTAAATGGCAGAACTCTAAGGGCCATTAACAGATGAGTCATTTTATTCAACTTAAAAAAATGTTCTTGTTTTTATTTCAGAGAGGAGGGGAGAGATAGAAATATCAGTGATGAGAGAACCATTGATTGGTTGCCTCCTGCACGCCCCCTACGGGGGATCCAGCGGGCAACCCAGGTATGTGCCCTTGACCAGAATCAAACCCAGGACCCTTCAGTCCGCAGGCTGACGCTCTATCCACTGAGCCAAACCAGCTAGGGCTCAACTTTTTCATAACCTTGAAATGAAGTAAGGATGGAGGGAGGTGGGTGGGTCCCAGAATTACATCTGAATTGCCCTTCAGGGTCAGTGATCCCAGACATACACTTCCTTTTTCAGACATGACCTTGGGCTCTGGAACTTTGTAAATTACTCACCACAGCTCCACCACAGGTAGGTCAGGGGATGCTCAGGTGGAGTTTAAGCCTCCATAGATGGCTCAGACATAGCAACAACGTACAGATTTATGTCTTTGTTTCTGCTCTTCAGTTCAGTGCATGGCTGCTAGATATGGCAAAGGAAGAGGCAGGGCTCTAGAACATTCTAAGCCTGGTTGGTCTTTCTGATTGGAATTTTTTTAAACTATGAAGGGAGAGGGAGAGAAAGATAGAAACACCAATGATGAGAGAGAATCATTGATTGGCTGCCTCCTAGATATCCCCCACTGGGGATTGAGCCCACAACAGGGGCATGTGCCCCTGACTGGAATCGAACCTGGGACCCTTCAGTCCGCAGGTCCACGTTCTATCCACTGAGCCAAACCAGCGAGGGCTCAGATTGGAATTTTTTAATCTACCACCCTGACAAGAGACCACTACCTTACTCTCCCATGGCATGATTGGTTGTCTGATTCTCAAGCTGTATGACGAAATGCCACCAAATGTGCATAACAGCAAATGTTATTAACGTGAAAAACCACTCTATAGACCACGTAGGGATCAGAAGTCAATTTATCTTCCCGGATGGGATGCAAAAAGAACATGGCCTTCCATCCTTTGTACATACAAAAACATGTCTATT